CAAATAATAAATAAATCTTAAAAAAAAAACACTAAAAGATGCTTCATGGGACTTTCACATTCCATATTGAAAAAAAAAATGCCTGGCTGGCACTGCGGCTCATTAGGCTAATCCTCCACCTGCGGCGCAGGCACTCTGGGTTCTAGCCCTGGTTGGGGCGCCGGATTCAGTCCCAGTTGCTCCTCTTCCTGTCCAGCTCTCTGCTGTGGCCCGGGAAGGCAGTGGAGGATGGCTCAAGTGCTTGGGCCCTGCACCCGCATGGGAGACCAGGAGGAAACACCTGGCTCCTGGCTTCGGATCAGCACAGAGCGCCAGCAGCAACACTCTGGCCATAGCTGCCACTTGAGGGGTGAACCAACGGAAAAAGGAAGACCTTTCTCTCTGTCTCTCTCTCTCACTGTCTAACTCTGCCTGTCAAAAAAAAAAAAAAGCCTTCAGCGTCTCCCTGCATTGTGGCACAGCAGGTTAAACTTCCCACCATGTGCAATGCAGACATCCCTTATGAGTGCCAGTTCATGTCATGGCTGCTCCATTGCTAAAGTGCCTGGAAAAGCTGCAAAAGATAACACAAGTGCTTGGGTCCCTGTCACCAACATGGGTGACCCAGATGAAATACCAGGTTCCTGGCTTTGGCCTGGCACAGCCCTGGCAGTTGTGGTCATTTGGAGAGTGAACTGGCAGATGGAAGATCTCTCTCTCTCTCTCTCTCTCTCTCTGTAACTCTGTAAATAAACTTAAAAAAAAAAAAGTGCCCCTTGTAGTTTGACTTTAGTGCAAGATTTCTTTAAAAATCAGTGACTCTCACTCCTACTTAATGATAAAAAAAAAACAAAATTATGGTACTTCAATGTTGGTTTTGAGTTCAAACTACAGTGTTCCAGCTATCAAGTGTGAGAAATTCTATTAAGGTTTAAACCAGTTTCTCAATGAAGAACTGAACTTTACTGGAAAATTTAATCAGTGGTTTCATAGTAGTAGGTCATGACAAGAATTTAAAAACATACTCTGAATTAGAGGTTGACAAACTTTTCAGATAACAAATATTTTAAAATATTTTTTACAACTCTTTAAAAATGTAGAAACCAAACTTAATGTAGGGACTAGAACCAATGTCTACAGCAGCACTAATCACAGTAATCATAAGGTGGAAACAACTCAAATATCCATCAATGGATGAATACACACATGTAGTACTCACATACAGCATGTGTAATCTTAATCTTAAAAAGGAATGAAAATCTGGCCAATGAAAATCAGAGCAATATGCTAATCCTCCACCTGCAGCGCCAGCACACCGGGTTCTAGTCCCGGTCGGGGTGCCAGATTCTGTCCCGGTTGCCCCTCTTCCTGTCCAGCTCTCTGCTGTGGCCAGGGAGTGCAGTGGAGGATGGCCCAAGTGCTTGGGCCCTGCACCCCATGGGAGACCAGAAGAAGCATCTGGCTCCTGGCTTCAGATCAGCGCGGTGCGCTGGCTGCAGCGCGCCGGCCGCAGTGGCCATTGGGGGGTGAACCAACGGCAAAAGGAAGACCTTTCTCTCTGTTTCTCTCTCTCACTGTCCACTCTACCTGTCAAAAAATAAAATAAAAAAAAAAAGGAATGAAAATCTGTTATATGCTACAATATGGATGAACCTTGAAAACATTATACTAAGTGAAATAAGTCAGACACAAAAAAGACAAGTATTCTATGATTCCACTTACATAAGTTAACTAGAATAGCCAATTCACAGAGACAGAAAGTAACAGTTACTAGGGGACAGGAAGTAATGGAAGTGACTGTTTAATGAATACCGAGTTTCCACTTGGGGTGAAGAAACAGCTCTGGGGATAGTAGTTATGTGACACAATAATGTAAATGTATTAAGGTCTCTAAAATGTATGTGATGTATATATTCTCACAATAAAGAAAGAATGTAAAAGTCATTCTTAGCTTCATAAGCCACAAAATAACAAGACTACAGGCCAGAATTAGCTTTCAGGCCATCCTTGGCCAACCACTGTTCTGAATCATCATAAGACATTCTAAACAAAATTATATGAAACATTCAAAAATTCCCCAAGTCATTGTTTCACTTTTATTTTTAATATGAACACGTTTTACAGATTTTCAGATTTTATCCTTCTTAAATTTACCAAAACTTACAAACACAAACTATAGTATTCATCTACCAAAAATATGTGACAAAAGCCTCCTTAAGATGAGATAGACAGTATATTAAGACACACAGATATATAGAGATCTGGTGATTCATATCAAGTACCTCCAGCTTTCTGTGTTACAGACATGAATGGGCTGGGGAAGTAGAGCAGGCATGGGATCTTCATGAAGCACAAAAGGTAACCTGAAAGATGTGGTAGGTAAAGCAGAAACTTAAGAGGTACACAAACAAACTCAGCTTTAAGGTTCAGGTTTAAAAGCTTGCCATACGGGGGCCTGCACTGCCACAATATCTGGTTGAGCCACAGCTTACAATGTCGGCATCCCATGGGAAGCTGCAGGTTCAAGTCCCAGTTGCTCCACTTCTGATCTAGCTCCCTGTCATTGCACCCAGGAAGCAGCAGCAGATTGTCCACATCCTTGAGCCTCTGCACCCATGTGGGAGATTCAGATGAAGCTCCTGCCTCCTAGCTTTAATTGTGGCCATCTGGGGAGTGAATCAGCAGGTGGAAGACCTTTCTATCCCTCCCTCTCTCTGTGTAACTCTACCTTTCAAATAAATAAAATAAATTGTAAAAAGAAGTCTGACATACAGCTTGTAAGGCTTGCATTTTCTTTCTTACCCACTTGGTACATAGTAGATCACCCTCTCACTGAAACATCACAAAATTAAATATACTATATAAAAGTCTGTCCACATCTCTCTGTATTCTTGCAGCCTTTTGTGGAGAATCCCACAGGGGTCTCAAAAAGAGTCACAGATCACCACTTACCTGTAAAGGAGATGAACTGTGGAAACTCCACAGTAAAACATTGAGTTAAAAAGTCACCACTAGCCACAAAATAAAAGTAACGTGGAGTTATAATTCAGGAGCTGAGGCATTATGCAATATCTATCGGCTGTTAGGGAGACGCTCCTAATCATACCAAGCAGACATCTCTGGTCAATCAGATAACAGTGTGCTACAGACAATACCCTCCTACCCACGCTGACTGGACCGTTCAAATGTAAGTAAAGCGGGAACAGTATTGACTGGACTGTTCAACTGCAAGCAAGGAGGAAACAGCATTGATTGGACAACAAATAGGAGGATGGCAAGCTGGAGGACTGCCGGAGAATGAGGATAAAAAGGGGAGTCCTTGCACCACTCTCCATCCTCTCGTGGATGATGGCCTGGTGTGTGTGAACCTCTGGATCTCCACACATCCGGAGCTGAAGAGGCAGCCCGTTACTCTGCATGGAGCAGGTAGCAGCACAAGCCGACCTGCAGAGCTGTCCCTGAGCTGTAACCCCACTGTCTGTGTGTGAGAGTGTCTGTGTGTGTGTGTGTGTGCATGGACCCAGTGCATGCAAACCTCTGGATCTCCTCGCACTTGGAGTCGAAGAGCCAGCCGCTAGCTTTTGCTATGTGGCACAAGGCGACGACGGGATCAAGAGGACAGCGGAGCTGCTGCGTTGCTGCCCTGCTGCCGTGCCTGACCAGCCAAGATGCCGCCTCACCGCCCTGCCTGGACCCCTTATCAGCTTACTGCCAGACCTGTCCTCAAAGCTGGACCAGGCCTCTCAGCAGGGGACATCTCTAACTTCTCGCCTGGCCATCCGCCTGGGAACTTCGAGCCTACTGCCCAGAGTGACAGCCTTCACACGACTTCCTGCCTGTAAGTGACTGATCCGAGATCCGTCTCTGCCGAGACGTGGAGCTCTGGACCTTGCACACTGACACTTTTTCGTGACCATGATACGAGCCTTGAAAATGCAGCTTTTACAAATAATGTTGGTCATGTGTAATATAACTATGCTTTGACCCTATGTTTTGACCCCATGCAAGGTATCTGCAAATAATGCTGGAAACCTTGATGTACATATACTATTATAATTGGATAGCCCTCAAAATTACTTTAACACTGTATAATGTGATCTGTGGATTAATGAATAAGTTCAAGTAGTATTATTGATATTGATATTGATGGTATTGATCCCAGTAGTCCTCTAGTCGTTAAGGAAATAGTGTTACTCTGATAGTTAAGTATTATAGTAAGTAAGTTAAGTAGAAGATAAGTAGTTATGTTAAGCTAAGTAGTTAAGCTAAGTAGTTACGTTAAGCTAAGTAGCTAAGTAGTTAAGTCATGATTAAATAGTGGTGTTGTTTATTCATAAGTGTATTAATTAGTATAGATTGATAAGTATATTGAAACGGATAAGTGTATTGACCTCAGTGAGCATGCTGATGAGTAGTGTGATTAAAAAAAAAAAAAAACCCTGGTGTATAAGCAATAAAACTTCTCATTGGAAAGACAGTCTTGTGTCCGTGTATTCCTTTCTTCCCCGTGACTGACAAGTCGGACATCGCATTTGCTACTGTCGAGCTGCGTGACAGTAGATGATTGCGACACCTTTCAACCAAAAATTCACCTAAATCTTCGACTGATAACACAATCTTAGACTATGGGGTCAACACAGTTTTCAAAAAGATTACCTTGAGGCACTTTACCTAGCCAAAAAGTCAGTTACAGGCAAAAGAAAGAAAGAGAAAGAGAGAAAGGAAGGGAGAGAGGGAAAGAAGGAAGGAACGAAGTAAGGAAGGAAAGAAGGAAGGAAGGAAAGAGGGTAGGAAGGAAAGAAGCAAAGAGGGAAGGAAGGAAAGAAGCAAAGAGGGAAGGAAGGAAGGAAGGAAGGAAGGAAGGAAGGAAGGAAGGAAGGAAGGAAGGAAGGAAGGAAGGAAGGAAGGAATCACCATCAGCAAGAAAGCTTCTTACAGACTAGGTGGAAAACGCACAAATCCGTAGATAGAGAGGTTCCAGTTATCTCCTCCCAGAGATAAGTCACACACCCAAAACTCAGTAAAGTAAAACAGCAGTCGTTTTTTTATGCTCATAGGTCCTGCAGCTTGGGATTTAGAACAAGGCAGAGTAGGGATGGCTTCCATCCTCATGATTTGAGCTTCAGCTAAGCCTCAAAAGCTGAGCTGGAATGTCTTTCTCCACTCATAGTCTTGGCACCTGGGATGGGCTGACTTGAGGGCTGGGCTCAGCTGGGGCTGTAAACCAGTGTGCCTTCAAGAGGCTTCTCCATGCACCTTGGGCTTTCTTACAGCATTCAGCCCTCAGGTTGGAGGGCTTCTTACGTGATGGCTGAGTTTCAATAGTAAGTGTTCCAGTAGACAGGGTACAGCTGCATGGCCTTTTGTGACCTAACCTCAGAAGTCACATGTGATGACTACGGCCTCTTTCCTCAGATTCTACTGGTCAAAACAGTCACAAGCCCCCACAGACTTCATCTTTTATGGTAAGATTATCGAATACCAGCCAGGGCTTAACACTATCATGGACACAGAGACAGGGGAGAGAGATATAAGCAAGAGTTAAAAGTGCCTACCTCCTAGATTGTTCAAAGTAAATTTCATTTACCTGTTAAGTCAGACTAATCCAAACATACCCTCCAAAAGATGTTAAAATTTCATCTACCCACTTTCATGTGATAACAGAAAATAGAAATTTCAGTTTACATAATTTGCATCAAGGTTGATGGCTAGCTTGTTTTTGACCCTGGTACCATCTGCAGTTACAATCAATTCTTATTTTCCAGTACCACTGATCTCAGATGTTTCCTCAGACTTAGGCTAAGTCATATCCAGAGAGAAAACAGAGAATACCTGTAGCTAGCAAAGCAAGTAGATTAGGAGCACACCAGCATTAGGGCTGCTGTCACCATTCCCTAAGATTCCATGGGCCAAGAAAAATTTCAGAAATAAACAAATGGTGAACAAATAAAGTTGCCAACTTGTTATTCTGAAAAGGAAGAAAAAACAACTACCATCTACTATGACTATCATTTTTTAAAAGGATGGATAGTTTCAAAGTAAAATGCGATCAACAGCAAATAAATTCAACTAAATGAAAATTCCACTTTCTATTTTTCTCATTTCTCTGATGATCTGTAGAAGCTTGACTATAGATGAACGCCAGTTACAAACTGGTGTGCAAAGTCACTAGCACACTTAACATGCTGTTGTCTTCTCTCCCTTACTTTTTTCTAATGGTTCTAGAACTTTTAGCTTGCCCTGAGGAATCCACACTCGCAAAAAGATGAGTAAACAAGTAAATAATAATACAACACAAATGCCACACAGGGTAGGGAGGATCAAGGAAGGTTTCACAAAGTGGGTGAAAAGGTTTGCCCTTGAGAGAGAATGAGGAAGCTGTTCACAGGCAACTATCATGCAGTCCCTGACAGCACAGAGACAACCTCCCAAGAAAGCCTAAACTGTGCACCATGTAAGTTGTGGTTAAACAAGTTGTAGAGTAAGGGTTGATTTTGTTCTTTGTTCTGTTTTCTTAGCTTTAAAAAGACAGGTTCATTTGTTTAATGATAGGACTTTTTTTTAAAAAAATGATTATTTCAGTTTTGTAAGTTAGCTTAGGAAGAACATACAGAAGTCCTACTTTTCATTTAAGAAAACAGTCCGTAATCAAGAGTCCAGGTTGCAAAACAGAGTTGGGAACAGGGGCTGCAGAAATCAGCTCCAGGTTTTGGCTAGCACAGAAGCCCCTGGGGAAGATAATCATAATATTTCGTTATGTTTGAGAATCCAGGACTAGATGTACTCAGTATTATAGGTCTTCTTGTGCTTGTGGTCACTAGGCAGAAAGTCCTGGTATGACAGGTGCTGGCAGGTGCTGACAGGTCAAATGTTTACATGTAAACCCTTTGAAGTTTACAGAGACCAAGATTAGAATCTCAGCTCTACCTTTTACCAGCTCAGTGACTTGGGATAAAGCACTGAACCACTGGAAACGGGTTTTCTCAATCTGTAAAACGAAAACTGCCTACCGCTCAGGATTCTTATGCAAATCAACTGATATGAGGCAGGTAAAGAACTCAGGGCAGTTCTGTGCCTCAAGACACAGTCTTACATCTTATCTTACATATCTGAGAACCAGGCTGTTTGCTCTATTGCTTTATAAAGGTTTTAAAACTCCATTTGTTGTCTGTTTGCTCTGTGAACTTATAGAGTTAACAGCTATGAGTACATGAAATTTGTCAGTTGTATTGCCAATCTTTTGATACTCAAATGAGTGCAGGTTTTTAACACAAGTTCTAAATGTGGAAAGGACATTCTGTGTTTGAAATTGCTTCTACAATTGAGCTATCTTTAGAAGGATCCTTCTGCAGGATCCAGAAATAACTAAGTGGCCCATCCCTGAATTCTGGCCACTGATAGAAAAGTGGGCGGAGGTTTTCCACTCTTCTATCATTCCAGTTGCCTTTCGTATCCTCCCCTAGAGAGAAGAGCGCTTTCTGCGAAAAACCGCCTTCTCTCTCCCAGGTGAAATCTAAAACTGCCCCTTACCCAGGCTCTGAGCTGGCATAAGGTCAGCAGAATATAAACGGCGTTTCTCAAGCGCTCCCAAACAACTCAGCTTGTGAATCCCCGAGGGGCTGCTCCCCACACAGCCATGATGCGCACAACTTTCATTCAGCTCTCATCACCTTTCTTCTCACCTCAGTACGCAATCCTATGGCCACGCCCCCCAGCGCAAGTGACCAATTAGGGAGTGTAAAACGAGCCGGATAGGGCGGTCCCAGCTGGACACTGACGACGAATCACCTGCTTCAGACAGCAAGGGCGGAAGCGGAAGAGAGCCGAAAGCCCGGGTTTGGCCTTGTGTTCTGCCGTAGAGGATGTCCGGTTTGAGGCAGTGAGGAAAATCGGGGCCCTTATCTACCAACCTCACCGGGCGAAGAGAAGCCTGCGAGAGCGGGAGGGAGGAAGCACGAACCCCCAAGAAAAGAGCTAGCGCGCAGTCAGCTGCAGGGCAGAAGGGGAGTGTGCCGGGTCCCCAAGAACGAACTTGATCGTGCCGCTCTCCAAGACCATGGTGCAGGCGGAGCTCGGGGCGATCCCCAGATGAGAGCAGCTGCTCTCTCTGCCGGGGATCCCACCGCGCTAGATAGAACCGGGTAGATGCGGGTTAGGGGAGAAAGGATGCTGCCCGCACTGCTCCCTGGTTGCACCCTGAGTGGCCGCAGCGCTAGCAGCAGAAAGCACAGCCCCGGCCAAGGAGGCGGCTCGAGCTGTTGCTGAAGTCGCGTGGCAGTTCTTTCTCCGTAGTGTGCGAGTTGAGAAAACAGCCAGAGAGCAGGGCTCCCCGTTACAACTGTCTTCGGGCTCTTTTCCCTTGCTACTCGGAGCTGATTTATGCGAAAACATGCCTTGCACTTGCACCTGGAGTAACTGGAGGCAGTGGATTCGACCTTTAGCTGTGGTCATCTACCTGGTGTCCATAGTGGTTGCAGTTCCCCTGTGCGTGTGGGAATTACAGAAACTGGAGGTAAGAGGGGCCGGCACCATTGACCTCTACCCTTCTACCTATGTAAGGTTGGAAAGGAGACAGCCATCCATTTGTACCCAGATACCCAGACTTGGTATCTTGCGAGCCTTCTCATGTGAATGAGCCGGGTCTCAGGACATAAACCTATCTGTGGCTTTTTCCTTTTTTTTTTTTAATTTTATTTTAATTTTAAGCCATTTATTTCAAGGATACAAAGCATCAAGAAACGATCCATTCGTGTAGGTTTTCTCCTTTCACTTATTTAAATCATACTGATCGAGTTCAGGGTTCTTAAAAGCATGCTACAGGTAGAGGTGGGACAAAGGCAAGGAAATGTATTAACAAAGCTGTGTGGAAAAGTAGTTATGCAAATATTCATCAGTTTCATGAAAGTATGGTTTATTCCTGAAATCCGACTTGGTCAGATATTGGACTTACAAACTACTTTGAGAACCAAGTATTGACTATTTCTAGCTTTTAATTAGCTTCCTGAATTAAGGGATTCTTGTTGGATTAACTTTGCTGTTTTACTTTGAATATTAACTCTTAACCAACAAAGGTTTTGCAAAAAGTCCCTTGTATATTTTTTGATGTCATATTGTTATTGTGACATCAGTAAGGTATTACAAGCTGGAAGATCCCAAGGTAAATGTTTAACTAAGACGCAGACTCTATAAAAATTGTATAATGAGCTTTAATTTTGAGTTAATAAAAATCAAAAAGTACTTTTAGTGAGAAACACTCATTTTTCAAGTGCTATGACAAGACCATAGTTATAGCTGCTTTTTTTAGTATAGAAATGTTTTACATAGTTAAGCAAAATATTTAATATACATTTGGGTTCTGTATATTCACTGATTTTGGTTGTTGTTGACTCCCATACTGTGTAGTCCATATAGCTATTCTGCTACATTGAGTATTTCTCATATCTTAACAAATATGTAGATTATTTCCATACTTTATCAAAATTCATGTATTAACATCTTAATACAGATGGGGTTTCTTGCATAGAGTATGGTACAGAGACTACTTTTAAGCTTATTGCTATATATAATATCCTGGTTAAAGAATTCTCCTAGTTGCTAGCTGCAACTGTAGTTTTAAGAGCTACTAACTTTTAGGGGAAATTTTAATCTGCAGTCTCCACTGCTAACACCCTGAGCCAAGTTCTCAACACGTATTGCCCCGGAGTCTTCTCAACACACCAGCTAGAAAATCCAGTTCAAACACAGGTCACGTTGTATGTGCCTTTTGCGGTCTTGACTAGTCCCAGAATAAGAGCCAGTATTCCAAACAGCGGCCATCAAGGTCCAGTATGTTCTGACATCACTTCCACCTGATCCTCTTCTGACTTTCTCTGTTCAAGTCTTGGGTTTTCACCACACTGGCTTTCCTTAAACAAGCTGGGCCTGCTCCCTCCTTAGAACCTTTGTGCCCTTCAGTGCTTTGCTCAGATGATACCTGACTGCCCTACTGAAAATTGCAAGCCTCCCCTCTCCGACTTCCCTGCTTTGTTTTTGTAGGACTTTGACAGTATCTACCACAATAAAATTTCACTTAGTTTTCTCTTCCCCTCCCTCTGCCCAAATGACTTGAGTCCCAGTGATGATCAGGTTTTGTGCACGGTATTATCTTATGAGACTCTTAAACATGGTGGAAGAGGCAGATCAAACAACAAAAACAAACCGATAAATAAAAATGTTTTAAGCAGTGTTGAGGAAACTAGAAAAAAATCTGAGAAATTAACAGGCACGTCAGTTTTATTGCACAATTTCAAAAGACCACTCTACCAGCTGTGGAAAATTAAGTGGAAGTAAAGAGAAGTTAGCTCTTTATGGTAGTTGAGAAGTAGTGGGTGGCTGGACTACAGTGATTTATGGCCCAGCTAGGGATCCCAGGAGTAGAGATGGAAAACTGAACAAACAGGACTAGGCAGTAATTAGCCTGGGGAGGAGGGGCAGTAAGACAAAAGGAGAAATCAAATGTAATTCTGAGGTCTTTGGTTTCAGACCAAGATGGAAAGTAGAGGACTGGGGACAGGTTTGAGAAAATTTAGTTCTGTATGGACATTTGGTGTAACGAGAGACCTTCAGATTTGCATGTCAGATATGCAGTTGGATATGCAAGTCCAGCACTCAGAAAGGTTTGAGCTGCAGATACAAATGTGGGAGTTTGTCTTAGTCTGCTCACACTACCATTCTGGGGATGGAGAGACTTAACATTATTTTTTTCCCTTCAGAGTTCTGAAAAATGTTTTGGGATCCAAGATAGAGGTACAAGTCGGGGTGATGTCTGGAGACAGCAGTTCTGTTGGGTTGCAGTGGCCAAATCTTGGCTGTAGCCTCACCTGTTAGAGTGCCCTCTCTGGTGCCTCTTCATCTTATGAGGTACCAGCCCTGTGCCCTGTCAGATAAGGGCTTCTCCTTTATGATTTCATTTAACCTTCATGACCTGGTAAAGGCCCTATGTTTCAACCTAAGAACTGTTCTACCCATGGCAGAGTGGTCAGAACGTAGGTGGTAGTAAAGCCATTAGGATGGCTGAGATTATAAAGAAATATAATGGCCAAGAGCCCAGCACCAGTCTTTAGAGCTTAAGTCGAGGAGTAGGAACTTAGGTGAAGCAGCAGCCAATGGGAAAGCAGAGTGCCAAGAAAATGATTCAAGGAGGCCATGGTGACCAGTGTCCAGTGCTACTGCAGTGTCCCTTGGTTTTCACAAGATAGGAAAGTCCTTGTCATCTTAGTAATGGTTTCAGTGGAGTTGAAGACTGAATGTGAGGTGGAAAACTGCAATCAGAATAGGAATTTGAGTTTGTTGTTCATTTTGGTTGCAGGAATTTTGACTCTGAGAAATGAATGCACAGTAGATGGAGAGGAGTGTGAAATTAAGGAAGGACTTGTTTTCCTTTTGTTTTTAAGATCAGAGACACTAACTAGAGCATGTCCTCAAAATTTAGCTATAATTTTTATTTCATCATCTTTAAAACCCTGAAGCATAGGAAGTATCCTCATTTTACAGATGCAGAACTGAGGCAGAGATAAGTGGCCATAGTGACATTGTCCTAAGGGCTTCATATACAATATCCTATTGTTCTTATCTTATTTACCAAATGAGCTTATGTATTTAACATCCTTAACACTGTGCCCAGCACATAGTAGGTGCTCAAGAAGCCCTAATTACCACAATTTTTTTTTAAAGATTTATTTTATTTGAAAGGCAGAGTTAGAGAAGGAGAAAGAGATCTTCCATCCACTGGTTCACTCCCCAGATGGCCACAACAGCCAGCGCTGGGCCAACTGGAGCCAGGAGTTTCATCCAGGTCTCCCACACGGGTGTCAGGTCGTCTTCCGCTGATCTTATCAGGCCATTAGCTGGGTGCTGGATCAAAAGTGGAACATCTAGGACATGAACCAGCACTGTCACAGACGGCAGCTTTATCCACTATACCACTGTGTTTTTTTTTAAAATAGCATCATCAGTATTGTATTGTGGCAGCAATTCTTTTCCTGGTGCAGTAACAGTTTAGGCTGTATTAGTTCTTTAGTTCTTTCTTTCTTTTTTTTTTTTTTTTTTTGACAGGCAGAGTGGACATTGAGAGAGAGAGAGAGAGACAGAGAGAAAGGTCTTCCTTTGCCATTGGTTCACCCTCCAATGGCCGGTGCGCTGCGGCCGGCGCACCGCGCTGATCCGATGGCAGGAGCCAGGTACTTCTCCTGGTCTCCCATGGGGTGCAGGGCCCAAGCACTTGGGCCATCCTCCACTGCACTCCCTGGCCACAGCAGAGAGCTGGCCTGGAAGAGGGGCCCCTGGGACAGAATCTGGCACCCCGACCGGGACTAGAACCCGGTGTGCTGGCGCTGCAAGGTGGAGGATTAGCCTAGTGAGCCGCGGCACCGGCTGGGTTCTTAACACTTGAGACAAAATTACATGTGTCTGCTTGAGCAATAGGTTATGCTTAGGGGCATTTTATATAAGAAATGCCTGTCTTTTTTTTTAAACTCTAGAGTCACAGTGTTCACTAGGAGAAGTTCCTAGGAAAGAGACTACAGAAAACAGGAGGTTCATTCACCTCATCCCATGCCAGAGGTGCAGCATCCGAGTACACTCATGTACTGAAACAGCAGGATGACCGCCTGCGCTATGGAAACGACTTCTCTTGCTCTTTCATGGGGCTGAGTATGTGAGGTTGACCCAAGGCAAGCCAAGTGCACACTTGGCCACGTGCTTCTCTGTACTGCTATTGTCTATCAGTTCTGTTCTCTGTGCCTCTGGAGGCCTGGGCCTTGAAAGCACTCTCCTATTCTTCTGTACTCTCGTCTGAAGTGCTGGCTGAGGGTGAGCTAACTTGCTCCTAGACACTTGTCTTTAGTATTTCTTTGTCCTCTTCCTTCCTCACATTATGTTAGAAAAACACTGCCATAGCTCGTCCTTCTAATTTTTTTGAGCCAAAAAAAACCCCCACTGCATGGCTGATAAGTTTAAGTATTATGTTAATGGTGTCTCTATAGAAGTGTGTCTCAAGTTTAGATAAATTATTTAAAGAGAAGAGTTCATTTCTACAGATACCTGGTAGTGACTTTTCCTATTATTACTTAAATATGAACACAATTAAAGTAGCTTAAATTTCTTATGCATACAGCTTTCTATATAGTTTAAAAGTCAAAATAGCTATAAAGCAGTAATTCAAATTAATGTTAGTGTGGGCCGATGATGTTTTTCTAAAACTAAATTGCCATTTGCAATGTAAAAATGATGCTGCATTATGCACAATTTTTCTTAAATTGGCATGACTATACTGAAATGACTCAGTTACCCAGAGGCACTTGTTTTATGACTGCTTGAGAAAGCACTTTCTTCCTTACAGCACACTGTGATTATACTTGGCCTTCACTAGTCACACACACATAATGTTTCTCTGATGCTACAACCACATTCTACTTTTTGGCACTACAACAATCATAAAAGTAAATGGAGACATTAAAAGTATTTGGCAGGACTCTGCTGATGATAACTTTATAAAAGAGAAACTCTGGATGGCGCAGCTCACTTGGCTAATCCTCCACCTGCGGCACCAGCACCCCAGGTTCTAGTCCTGGTTGGGGCGCTGGGTTCTGTCCCAGTTGCTCCTTTCCAGTCCAGCTCTCTGCTGTGGGCTGGAAAGGCAGTGGAGGATGGCCCAAGTGCTTGGGCCCTGCGCCCACACGGGAGACCAGGAGGAAACACCTGGCTCCTGTCTTAGGATCGGCTGTAGCAGCCATTGGGGGGTGAACCAATGGAAAAAGGAAGACCTTTGTCTCTCTCTGTCTCACTGTCTAACTCTGTCAAATAAAAACAGAAGAGAAACTCTGCAATGTATGCTTATGTTAATATTTCCTTTGATCATCACTGAGTAAGTTTTAAATGAAAATGAGCAAAGCAGGAAGCCCTTTTACAATATTTACATGTTTGCTTTTCAGGCTTCTGTATATTAAATGTGGAAATTTATTGACATAAAAATACATTTCTTCTCCATATTTTTATTTTCTACCTCTTTAATATCTGGTCCCTATTGGACAGGGGGTGTCATGTTAAAACAGTGAAATGAAGAGTTGTAGGCTTCAAGTCTATTTTGTTAACTGCTCAAACTACTCAGGTACCAAAAATAAATACTCTTTCCCTTTTTAAGAAGAGAAAGATTGAAGACGGGATCATAAGTTAGTGGTGTGATGCTCACTTCCCACCGTGTCAGACTGCTTGGATTCAGTACCTGCCTCTGGCTCATTATTCCAGCTTCCTGCTAATGCAGACCTGGGAAGCAGTAGTGATGGCAAAGTATTCTCTAGGGCTTTCCAAATAGAACATAGGTTCAGATTAAAGTTGTTTTACCAGAAAGTTTATCAGTGCTACTTTAGGATAAGTATATTTTTAGAAATTGAGTTTCTAAAGGATAAAATATTGATCAAATACTGACCTAAGAAAGTAGATTTTTTTGAAACAATACTATCCTGAATTGATATTATTGTATATAACAGGGGTAGCATAGTAACACAGTTTGTTTGGACAATAGTGAGACAGAACTTAACCATTGGGAAGGTTAAAAGAGATAATACATGGGGTCTACATTTGGCCTAAAGGTTAAAACACCGATATTGGAGCACCTGGGTTTAAGTCCTAGCTCCACTCCCAGTTCCAGTTTTCCTGCTAATGCTGACCCTGGGAGACAGTAGGTGATGGCTCAAAATGTCAGGTCCCTGCCACCCATGTGGGAGACCTGGATTGATTTCCTGGCTCTTGGCCTTCTTCCAGCCCAGCCCTAGCTCTTATGGACATCTGGGAGAAGCTCCATGGTATTGGAGCTTTAGCTGTCTCTTTCCATCTCTCTATCCCTCAAATTAAAATAGGTTTTAAAACTCCTTTTTAAGAAACTACATAGAGATCAGCATTGTAGCACAGCAGCCTAAGTTGCCTCTTGAACAGGCACCCCATTTCAGAATACCAGTTCAATTCCTGGTTGCTCTGTTTCTGATCCAGCTTCCTGCTAATGTGCCTGGGAAAGCAGCAGAAGATGGCCCAAGTCCTTAAGCCCCCTGCCACCCACTTGGGAGACTCAGATGGAGTTCCAGGCTCTTGGCTTCAACCTGGCCCAGCCCCTGCCATTGCAGCCATTTGGGGAGTGAACCAGCAGATGGAAGATCTCTTTGTGCATCTTTCCCTCCCTGTGTGTCACTCTACCTTTCATTTTATTTATTTGTTTGAAAGTCAGAGTTAGAAAGAGAGAGAGAGAGGTCTTCCATCTGCTGGTTCACTCCCCAATTGGCCGCAATGGCTGGAGCTGTGCCAATCTGAAGCCAGGAGCCAGGAGCTTCTTCCGGGTCTCCCACACAGATGCAGGGGCCCAAGAGCTGGATCAGAAGAGGAGCAGCCGGGTCTCGAACCGGCGCCCATATGAGATGCTGGCGCCTCAGGCCAGAGCGTTAACCTGCATCACAGTGCCAGCTCCAACTCTACCTTTCAAATAAATAAATAAATCTTTTTTTTAAAGGATGCATATAAATATATTAGCCAAGTATTAGGCAAATAGTATACAATAAAAGTTCATTGTTATTTTCATATATGAAAGTATTTATCTAAAATGTTTAACAATAAATTTAGGTCGATTTTTAAGTTTTTAAGAGTCTGTTTTGAAATTCAGAGTTACAACAAGAGAGGGAGAGACAGTGAGCAATCTTCCATCTACTGGCCACAATGGCCAGTGCTGGGCCAGGCCAAAGCCAGGAGGCAGGAGCCAGGAGGCAGGAGCTTCATCCTGGTCTCCCCTGGTTGGCAGGGGCCCAAACATCTGGACCATCCTCAGCTACTTTTCCCAGGCCATTAGCAGGGAGCTGGACCAGAAGTAGGGCAGCTAGGACACCAGCCAGCACCCTTATGGTATCTCACATCTCAGGAAGCAACTTTACCCACTATAGCACAGCGTCAGCCCCAGATTTTTAACTTTTTATGAAGAAAAGTAAATGATTAAACCATAAAAAGATTTTTTATATGGGACTTGCAGAAAATTTTAAAACTTCTGTACATCTACAAAAGCAATAATGAAATATAAAAAACAAATAGCAAATGGAGAAATGACATGGTATTAATATTTTTAATAAATGAAAAGCTGTTAGAAAAGCTTGAGGAACAATGCTCATGAGGAATAATGTGTCCCTCTTGTCCACAGAAACACAAATAGGCTATTTATTTTGAAGAAGAAATAAAATAATAATTTGGAAAACAGTATTTCTCATTAGTAATCAAATAAATGAAAATATGATATAAAAGTATTTTATTTATGTTTTTAGTTTTAATATCAGAATTTACACTGATGTGTCCTTTTGTTTCTTAAGGTTGGAATACACACCAAGGCTTGGTTTATTGCTGGAATCTTTTTGCTGTTGACTATACCCATATCCCTTTGGGTGATATTGCAACACTTAGTGCATTATACACAACCTGAACTACAGAAACCAATCATAAGGTAAATCTTAATATGTTTGTATTCTACTAGTTTTGTATTGGTTTATTTTGTAAATATGGCAAAATTTTTAATATTTACATTTTGCTTTCTAAATAGGATTCTTTGGATGGTACCCATATACAGTTTAGATAGCGTAAGTATGTTTCACTTTGTTACATTAATTTAGAACTTTTTGATGGTGTTAACTATGCTTACAGAAGATTTAAGGATATGCAAGTAGGTTTATTCAGTAAGGAGTCAGATTATAAGAAAAGTTCACTTGCTGTCAGTATTGATAAGATAAAGTATGAGAATAGAAAAGAAAAAATGCAAATACTTTAAATTTTATAAATTCTATTTTTATGTTCTTTGCTTAATCTCTTAAGCTCTCAGATTAGTGGCTGTTTCAAGAATATTTTAAATTAGATTCATGCCTCAGCATCCAAAAAAAGACTTGTTCCAGTACCCCCAGTGGACACAAAACCCAAGGATTCTCAGGTCCCTTTTATAAAATGGCATAGTGTTTGCATGTAACCTACACAGATTCTCCCGTATATTTTAAATCATGTCTAGATTTCTTATAATGCCTGATGCAATGTGAATGCATCAGTGAATGTGTAATAGTTGTTATACATTGTATTGCTAAGGGAATATGACAAGAAAAAACCAGGCAGTAGATGTTTAGTACAGACGCATCCTTTTCTTCTCAGATAATTTGAGTACACAGTTGGCTGAAACCACAGGTCAGCTGTCAGTTATCCTCCTTTGTATTTGGACAAACTAATAAAACATTCTCCAGTAAATAAACATGTAATTATGATATTATGCTACACTAATTTATTTAAAGGAAATAACTGAAGCAACATTTTCTGTAACCAAATTAAGAAAAATTTCAGATTATGTGTAAGAATTCATGTAATTTAGCTCTTGATATTCATTCTTTATCCCTACTATTTTTTTTAACCCATATCCTAGATGTTTAGGGCTTTTAAAACTTCATTTCACACGTTGTCTAGTAGCCATCATAATGATGAATTTTAGAGAGTTTGATGTAAGTATGTGACAAGACGTCTCAGACTTTAAAATCAGCTTATTTTTGAGTACCATGAAATGGAATTATAACTCATTTTATCTTTAGCTACAACTATCTTTAACATCTGTGCTTTTTCATAGTGGGTAGCTTTGAAATACCCCAGCATTGCAATATATGTGGATACCTGCAGAGAATGCTATGAAGCTTATGTCATTTACAACTTTATGGGATTCCTTACCAATTATCTAACTAACCGATATCCAAATCTGGTATTAATCCTTGAAGCCAAAGATCAGCAGAAACATTTCCCTCCTTTATGTTGCTGTCCACCATGGGCAATGGGAGAGTAAGTATTTTTGGTTTTAATACTTTTCTATTGTAATTCAAATTCAGTGGAGTTTTTAAGTATCAACTCTTAGCAGATCAGTATGGTAAGTAATGTGAGCAAGGCAAAATGTCTAAGACAGAATGCCCTTCCCTGATGTAATTCATAGTCAAGTTTGAAAGCTAACAAGACACATTTTTGTAATCTATCTAGTTGTTAGCTTATTCATCCCAAACAGAAAAGTTAAATAAAATACTGTAGGGAAAAACTTTAGAAATCACTTAATCAACATCCTTTTGGGATAGGCATTTGATGTAGTGGTTAAGATGCCACTTAGGGAGGCCTGTGCTATGGCAGGTTGGGCCCATCTGCAGTGCCGGTATCCCATATGGGCGCTGGTTCAAGTCCCGGCTGTTCCCCTTCCTCTCCAGCTTCCTGCTAGTGTACCCGGAAGGCAGCGGAAGATGGCCCAAGTGCTTGGGCATGTTGGGGACCTGGATGATGCTCCTGGCTCCTGGCTTTGGCCTGGCCCAGCCCTGGCTGTTGCAGCCATTTAGGGAGTGAACCAGCAGATGGAAGATCTCTCTATCTCTGTCTCTCCCTCTTTCTCTGTAATTTTTTTCAAATAAATAAATCTTTACGAAAAAAAAAAGAAGCCACTTGGGTCACCTACATGCCATATCAGAGTGCCTGGAATTGAGTCCTCGCTCTTCCTGCTAATGCACACCCTGGTGTGCCATCAGTAGGTGATGGCGTAAGTACTTGGGCTCCTATCACCCACATGGGGGACCCACAATGAGTTCCTGGCTCCTGGCTTACCATGGCCAAGCCCTAGCTATTGCAGACATTTTGGGGGTGAACCAACAAAAAGAAGATTGCTCTCTCTCAAATAAAATAAATTATAAATATTTTTTTAAATCCCCTTGCAATTAAGAATCAATGTCTATGGATTTTATGCCATATCACATAGCTGGTTAAAAGACTTGATGGGGGTAGGTGTTTGGCAGGATGCCCACAACCCATATCTGAGTAGCTGTATACAATATTTGGCTCTGGCTCCTGACTCTAGTTTCTATTGACGCAGACCGTGGGAGGCAGCAAGAATGACTCAAACTATTGGGTTCCTGCCACTCATGTGGGAGACCTGGATTGCGTCCCAGACTCTCTGCTTTGGTCTGACCTAATCCTAGCCTTTAGGGGCATTTTGGGGATGAACCTATGAGTGGGAGTGCTCATGTGTACCTCTTTCTCCCTACCCTCCCTCCCACTGGCCATCTCTCTCTCTCTGTCTCTCCCTCTCTCAGATAAGTAAATTAAGAAAAGAAAGAAGGGAGGGAGGAAGGGGAAGAAAGGAGAGAAGGAAGGAAGGAAAGAAGGGGGAGAGGGAGAGAAAAGACAGAAAGAGTGAGAGAGAGAGAGAGAAGAAAGAAAGAAAAGACTTGAAAGATAGTCCAGGAGGGGAAGCAGCATAGAATACACAATAGGAACAAAATAGCAATGTTTATTCTAATAGCATACAATATATATCGTATATGTTTGTATAGGACGGTAGAAGAAAAGTTTACGTATCTTCTACAAATTTCATTTTGAAAAGTAAGTTGCATTTAAGATTGCACTTATTATTTTACAAGTGAAACATTGGGTGCTTTTCAGAAAGCAGACATTTGAAACAGTGTTTTAGAAAGATCGATTTGCAATACTATAAAAGATGCATTAGTGGGAAGAGGATTCCAGAGACGGAGAAAAAGGAGATTGAAATAGTCCATTTTTGAGATAAAGGAGGGATGAGAGTAGAATAGAAAGAAAAACAGTAAGAGAATGCAACCAAAGAATCAATAAGACTTGACCATAGACAGACAGGTAATTAGGTGGAAGTGTTTAGCCAAGGTTAATAGAATGATGTGGAGGCATGGCAGTCAGTATAGATGTACAACTTAAAGATGGCTGCATTGCTTCCCATGCAGCACGGAACTATTTGTACAACATCTTGCCAGATTCTGCCTCTTACATACTGAAAGGTACAGGGAGCTACCTGGCTTTTTACAATAGTAAGTTTCTAATATGTTCTTTTGGCAGATATGTATTGAGTATCTAGTGTATGTGGCATTATGTAGCTGTATCTTAATACACGAAACAGTTTAGACTTCAAAGAATTTACAGTTTGATTAGGAATTAGATGAAGACAAATACATGGTTATCTGTTTAAGGCAAAAGAATAGGAGGCCATGAAAAAGGATAATAAGGAAAAACTAATGTAGATTGGTGAACAGGGAAGAGAGATTGTGCTAAACTTTGAATACAACAAGGACAAATTGATGTTTATAGCTAAGGAGCAGATTGAAGGTGTCAGTGGATGCAAAGTTACTAATAGAACACATCAAGAGTGGAAGGATCTAACAGGATTCTTGACTGAACTAACAGGATTCTTGCTACAGGCAGGCCAAGGGTTTAGACCATCAAAGGTATGAGGAACTTGATCAGATATCAAGGGGTGGGGCAGTGACTTAACAGGATTCTTTGGTTAAGCTGACTTAGGGCAAGGACAGTGCCCAAGGATGAAGCCCTGTCAAAGAGGACTGAGAAGGACTTACCTGTAAGTATGGTCAGTGAAAGAGAGTCTTTGTCACTTGAGAAGCCATTATAGGTTGTCACGCAGAGAACTGGTGTCCAGATTTCATTTTCGGAGATTACTGTGTTCTGTGTAGACTGACTAGGAAATGGGCAAGGGTGTAAGCTGAGAGAGATGAGAGACTGCCATTGGTAAGTATTGTTGATGATGATAATATGATAGTGACAGTTTGATTTGATAAGGACTCTTCCATTGATACAGAACCTGAGATGAGGCACTAATTTTTTTTAAAGATTTATTTATTTATTTGAAAGTCAGAGTTACACAGAGAGAGGAGAGGCAGAGAGAGAGAGAGGTCTTCCATCTGATGGTTCACTCCCCAATTGGCCGCAATGGCCGGAGCTGCACCAATCCAAAGCCAGGAGCCAGGAGCTTCTTCCGGGTCTTCCATGTGCATGCAGGGGCCCAAGGACTTGGGCCATCTTCTACTGCTTTCCCAGGCCATAGCAGAGAGATGGATTGGAAGAGAAGCAGCCGGGACTAGAACCGGAGCCCATATGGGATGCCGGTGCTTCAGGCCAGGGCGTTAACCCGATGAGCCATGGCACCAGCCCCAAGGCACTAATCTTAACTTCTTCAACCTGGCACAGTTTTGTTTGTTTTGCTTTTTTGGGTTTTGATTTTTTTTTTTTTTTAAGAGGCAGAGAAAGACAAACAGATACAGACTTCCCATACACTGTTTTTCTCCTAGAATACTAATAAGAGCTAGAACTGTGCCAGGCCGAAGCCAGGAGCTAAGAACATCTGGGACTCCTACATGGGTGGCAGGAGCCCAGTTATTTGAGCCATCACCATCTTCCCCATAGGGTCTATGTTAGCATGAAGCTGGAGTCATCTTCTTGAGCCAGGAATCAATCCTGGCTTGTACTTGTATGTGGGACACTGGCATCATAACCAGTAGGCTAAACACCTGCTGCAGACAGACACAGTTGGCTGGTGGTAAACTAAAATCCCAGACCTTTGTCAAATGACACTACTGGTCCAGATTCTCATATTCTGTGTTTGTGCACTTGATTAGTTCCCAAGTAAACAGTTACATTTATTCTGAAGCATCTTTGTTTTGTTTTCATTTTTTCTTGAGACTTCAATTCAGACAGCTGCTGATTAGATAATGTGACTAACAGTCAACAACACATCCACAAACTGCATCGGATTTTCTCGTCTTTGAAAAGGCATTGAATGGTTACTAAAATCATAGAGCTGGGGAGTGAGATCTTAGTAATAGTATTTTTCAGTCTGTTGTATATAAATAGATTTATTTTACTCATTTCCCTTTAATAGATAACTAGTATAAAATATCTGACAATTAATAAGGCTGTTGCCATTTAGGATCATTTAGATTAATGTTTTACTATGCAAATGCTATGGCAAGTTTACAGTTGGTATGTGGTAAAAACCAAGTCTACTTTTTATATTCTGATTTCTGTAACATGAGTAATGAGAACAATCAGTTTTCTTTTCATGAACATTTGGTTTTGTTTAGGTCATTCATGGGGGAAGCGGAAACACTTCTAGTAACTTGATGCATTTGCACTTCTGTAATTGGAATATATGTTTTCATGAAGTAGTACTAACTCTTATTACTATTCTTCCCTTGCTCTTGTTTTTAAAATTTGGGTGACATTCCACTAAGTTGAAATAGACATTGCTGTGGGTATGCACCTTGCTGTGGACATGTTAGGTCTCACAGGCTTTTATTCAACTTTGCAGGTTAGTGGCAAATTGTTTTCTGAAGCATATTAACTTACTCTCTTGCCAAGAAAAAATAAAATCGTTCTGGGGCAGGCATATGACCCAGCAGTTAAGATGCTGTTGATACACTCCCATCCCATGTCAGAGTACCTGGGTTCAAGTCCTGGCTGTGCTTTCACTTCTAGCTTCCAACTAACATGCAACCTTGGAGGCAACAGATAATGGCTCAAGTGCATTGGTCCCTGCCACCCATGAAGGAGACTCAGCTGGAGTTCTGGAATCCTGGCAACTGCCTGGCCCAGCCATGACACTTGCAGGCATTTGAGGAGTGAAACAGTGGATGGGAGATCATTTCTCTCTAGATATAGATATAGATATAGATATAGATATAGATATAGATATAGATATAGATATAGATATATACACCGATAGATATCGATATATCTATATATATCTGCCTTTCAAATAAAGTGAAGATAAGTAAGAATTTAAAAATAAGTAAATAAAATTGTTCTGTTGGGGCCAGTGCTGAGGCATAGTAGGTTAAGCATCTACCTGCAGTGCCGGCATCCCATATAGGCACCAGTTTAAGTCCTGGCTACTGTATTTCTGATCCAGCTCCCTGCTGATGCCCTGAGAAAGCAGTAGAAAGATGGCTCAAGTGCTTTGGCCCCTGGACCCATGTGGGGAGACCTGGAGG